ATACAAGGAGGCAAAGCCTCAAATATCCTCTCCATCCCTTCACAGGGACTAGGTCTCTTCATAGTGGGGCTGGTTAAAAGGTCCTCCAAACCACTGTCCTCATATCAAGGACTTCCAGGGAGGATAGTGGACTAGACAGATGGCAGTTCCTCACTAAAAACAACAGAAAACAAAGATAATAGATACTACTGATAATTCTAGAACCTCAAATTTAAAAAGAAATGTCAAAGAAGTACTTCAAAACAACTGAAGTAAAACATAGAATAAGAAGACAGATGGAGCACAGAAGTGTAGACAGAGTGTCAAAGCCATAACCTTGGTCAGTGGTGGCACCCACACCAGCAGCTAGATGGGAAATGTCCTATTTCCTTCTTGTTCCTTGTGCCTTCTTGAAGATCTTGGAGGGTAATGTTTTTCTCCCACTGGTGGCAGCACTCCCTATTTCATCCTGGCTTTGCCTGTGACCAGACTTCAGCAATTTTGTATGTGGTTTAGGAGCTTGGATGGCTCTATGCTCACAGTCCATCTCTGAAAGCAGGTGGACAGCACCATGTGTGGACTGCACTCATCCCCTATATTAGCAGGGGTACCACCTAAGACTAGAGTCCTTGTCTTTCAGTGGGCACTCTTGTCTGACATAGACCACGGCCATACTTGGAGCAGTGTACTCTCCAAGGAGTGTACCACCAATGGGGATTTCAAGTCAGCTACATCTCTTCATGTTAGCCATCTCTGACTGGGTACTATGACAGCACTCACCTCCTTTTTGTGTGTGTGTGTGTGTGTACCGTCAAATCAGATCTGACTGGTACAGGAAGAGATTGTCTCTCCTCCAGCAGAGCATCTGGTGGATTCGAACCGTGTGCCTCTGGGATTGTAGTTGCAGCTCCTTACCACTAGGCCACCAGAGCTCCCAGCACTCACCTCCTAAACTGGAAAAGGCATGATCTCAAGCAAGGCAGACTATCCAAAGCTCCCCTGAAGCTGGCAGAAGCTCTGTCACGGGCTATGTGCCCTATGACTCAACACCTTATGAACTGGAAGGCATGCCTAGCTCACATCTTGAGAACTTAACTACTTCTCAGAGGACTAGATACTTGGACCTAATTTGAGCATTCTGCTAGACTGAAAGGAGTACTGTGTCAGGCCAGGTATTTTATCTCCATCTATCACAGCACAGACGAGTGTGCTCAATCCATCTCCCCTCCAAAGTCCCCATTTTTTTCCTCTCTTATTTTTTATTTTTCCTTTGCTTTTTTTGATTTTTATTTCTTTCTTTTCCATTTTGCCAACCCACCACCTTCTGCTTTATCTTCTTTCTAGTTCATTTTTCCTGTCTGCCTGCCTGCTTGACTAGAAGAGATCCATATTTAGTCCCGTTCCCAAGAAAAGTGGTCAAATACAAAGTGGAAATTGTTGTTGTTGTTAAGTGCCGTCGAGTCGCAGGCGACTCATAGCGACCCTATGAAGAAGAGTCCTCAAGGCTTGTGTGTCTTTCATCCTCTTTGCAGGTTCATAGGGTTTCCGGAGGCAAGCTATTATGGAAGTGGATGCCACTCCTCCTTCAAATAAAGTGGAAATTATAGAACAATATTATTAACACCAGAGTTTCTTCTGACATCCATCTTAGTCTTTTCTTCCTCTTCTGTCTTTGCAATGACCTTTTGCATTCTTCCTGGGTGATATTCTTGATAACCTCCCACAGCTCCTCTGGTCTTTGCTCATTAGTGTTCAAGATCTCAAACCTGTTCCTGAGATGGTTTTTAAATTCAGGGGGGATAGACTCAAGGTCAAATTTTGGTTCTCATGGACTTGATTTCATTTTCCTTAGCTTTAGCTTGAATTTACATGTGAGTAGTTGGTGGTCTGCTCCACAATAAGCATCTGGCCTAGTTTTCACAGATGATATTGAGCTCCTACAGAAGTTCTTTTCAAAGAAGTAATTGACCTGATTCCTACACATACTATCAGGTGAAATCTTTGTTGAAACTGAGGAGGACCTGAAGCACTTGCTGTAGAAGATCAAGGACTGCAGCCTTCTATATAGATTGAAGTTCAACATCAAGAAAACAAGATTCTCACCACTAGGCCAATTGGCAGCATCATGATAGATGGTGAAGAGATTAAGATTGTTAACAGTTTTTGTTTGCTTGGCTCTACAATTAACACTCTTGGTACCAGCAGCCAGGAAATTAAAAGACGAATTGCACTGGGAAAGCCTGCTGTCAGGGACATCTCCAAAGTACTGAAGAGCAACAATGTCAGTCTGGAGACTAAAGTGTGCCTGATCCATGCCATGGTCTTTGCAATTACTTGCTATGCATCAGAAAGCTGAACAATGACTTGGAGAATTGATGCCTTTGAGCTGTGGTGCTGGAGAAGAGTATTGAATATACCATGGACTGTATACCACCTCTGTATAACCAATTGTTGACAAAGAAATCCATTAGGTGAAGAAAAGAAAATCTCTTTAACAAATGATTGTGGCAAAACTGGGTTATCTGTGGAAAACAGAAATAAGATCAATCTTTCAAACTATATAAAAAAACTAATTCAAGATGAATAAAAAAATCTCTCAGTAAAATCTAAAAAAGCTTGTGGTTGTTGTTGATTGTCATTGAGTCGAGCATGACTCATAGTGACCCTATGAACAAAAGACCTGAAGCCTTTCTATAACTATCATCATTTCTCAAATTCATAGCGTTTCCAGAAGTATATTGTTTAAGAAGTGGATGCAACTCCTGCTTGGGTTAAACTTGGGAGTTTTAATCTATGGAATAAATGTTGTTGCTGTTGTGTACCATCTAGTCACCTGCGACTCACAATGACCCTATGTACCACAAGCCTAACCCTGCTCTATCCTGTACCAATCTTATTGTCTCTGACACACCTACCCCCATTATCTCAGTCACTGAATCAATCCATCTCATCAAGGGTCTTCCTCTCTTGTGCTGTCCCTCCACCCTCCCAAGGATGATGTCCCTCTCCAAGGACTGGTCCCTTCTTGCAACTGGAAAAAGGCTAATCCATAGTGAATAAGCTATGTGATAGGGCCTTCTAAAAAGGAAATCCTTACCAATCGAAAGGTATGCGGTTCAAGTCCACCAGCTGCTCTTAGGAGACAGGAAATCTCTCATGTGATTTACTGCCTCTGATAACTCACTGGAGGGTCAGCTATGGATTGGTCCTGATTCAGTGGTGTGCAACGATAGTAACACACCAAAAGACAGGAGAAAATATTTGACAATGATACATCTGACAAATGACTTGTCTCTAAAATTTATAGAAAATGTCTACATCTCAACAAGAAAAAGACAATCCAATTACAAAATGGACAGAGCCCATGAATAAATGTTTCACCAAAAAAGACATTCAGATGATGAACAAACACCTGAAGAAATGCTCACTATTCTAAGCTATTGTTAAGTGTTGTTGAGTCACAACCAACTTATAGCTGACAGTTTAAGTTTTCAGAGGCTGTAAATCTTACAGGAAGAGATTGCCCATCTTTTCGTTCAGCCTCAGCTGGTAGATTTGAACCATGCACCTTTGGGTTGGCAGCACAACTCTTTATTATTAGGTCTCCAAAGTTTCTTAGCTATTAGAGAGATAAATATCAAAACAACAATAAGACATCATCTTATCCCAGCAAAAATATTAATGTTTGGTAAGACAGCATACAGTAATTGCTGTGATGGTGTGGAGAGAATAGAACTCCATAACTCCATTACTCTGCTGATGGTTTGGTGTATATGTATATGTATATATGTGTATATGTATATATGTGTGCATATATATGTGTGTGTGTGTGTGTGTGTGTGTGTATTTGTTGGTACAAAGGATGTTGATTATAGATTCACAATCCTGGTACCAGCGGTAAGGAGATCAGGTGACAAATTATTGCTGAGTAATGATGTCAGTTTGAGGACTAAAGTGTGTGTAATTCAGGCTATGGTCTTTTCAATCACTTGCTATGCATCTGAGAGCTGGGCAATGAATAAGGATGACAGAAGAAGAATTGATGCCTTTGAGCTGTGGTGTTGGAGAAGAGCATTGAACATCCTATGGACGGCCAAAGAACAGACACCTCTTCTAGGAGGTGGGTGCAGCCAGAGTGCTCCTTAGAGGTAAAGATAATAAAGCTGGTGTCACATACTTCAGGGGCATGTTACTAGGAGAGGCTGTTTCTTGGAGAGGGACATCATGTTTAGAAAGATGGAGTGTTGGTGAAAGAGAAGAAGACCCTCAACCAGATGGATTGACACTGTGACTGCTGCAATGGGCTTGAGTAGTGTGAGGATGGCACAGGATAGCACAGGGTTCAGATCTGTTGTTCATAGGGTCGTTATGGGTCATACTTAACTCAGTGGCACCTAAAAACAACACCACCACCACATTTATTGCACCATTCTTCATAATAGCTAAGAGTTTTAAACAACCCAAATGTCCATCAATGGATAAATGAGTGAAGAAATGGATATATTCTAGAATAAATCTTGTTGAGTGGTATGTTCATCACAAAGGGACAATTATGGTATAATATCACAAATATTTTAAAAATTAAGGAAATTTTTACACACAGATCAATTTTGAGGTGTTAACAGGGATGAGAAAGGAGGGAAAGGGGGACAAAAAAATTAATAAATACATGAGTGAAGGGAAATGCAATATACCACAAGGGTTTGGTTAGGCATCATAAAACAAAATGTCTATGAATGAGTTAATGAAAACCCAATATGATTTGTAAATACTCATTCAAGTAAAAGAAAATTAATAATAATAATAAAGAACTGTCCCCACAGCATCTCTCTGATAATTGGAAGCTGCCATTGTTCAAACCTGAGTCTCATTGCTGGGAAGTTGCACAAGGCACCTGTGTTAGGGAAAGTCCCTGGAATCTCCTGAGCTGCTGCTCTCTTCCTTCCCAAAAGACAGGCTGTTGCAACTTTGGAGCATAAAAGGCCCAGAGTGTGTGCACCCTGAAAGGAGCTGGGAGAGCTATGGGAGCCATCACCATGAATCGGAAGTATATCTGGGCAGGTAAGCATGGGACTGAGAATTCAGCCAAGAAGTTAGGGGAGGGAAGTTAGACCTCTGGAAAGTGATCTTGTTACTCTTTGGGGAATTCATTCTTTCTGTTGACTTTTGTACCAAAAACCTCTATGGAGTAAGTACAACCGAACTAGAAAAAGCTGTTAAATGGACAATGGAGCAGAAGAGAGGTCTTTGTATTACTGGAATGAGCTCATTTTCACAGAGGTGCTTCTTGCCAGTCAGAACTGGAGCCCAAGACTGAACAGAGACTAAGCTCTATCTTTGTCTGAGCATCGTGGTGAGAGTCACATTCTTTGCTGTCATCTGGGCGCATTTTAGAGCATATAAGGTCTGGGGACCACAGCAGCTGTGGCGAGAGAGCCCAGAAGTGAGGTTGCACTTTGTATGTAAGCACACCCACTTACTGCTTGCTGATGCCCTGGACAGGAGAACCAGCTATGATTCAACAGATTTCCCTTTCTATGTCCTACAGGTGTTGTTGTCTTGCTGCTGCTTCAGGGAGGTAAGTAGTCTATGAGTTACTGCTCTCTGGGTCTGCTGGGTCTGAAACCTTTAGTTTCTGATTATTGGTTTGTTTCCGCTTAGTTCTTTCTCTTTTAGCCATTTTTCACGAATACATTTATGGTTCAGATTCTATTTGTAACTCTTGACTTTTGTGGTTCTAATTTTCATCTGTTTCTTTGTCTTTGTCTCTCCCAAATATATATATATATGGGACTCTGGTGGCATAGGCCCTGGGGAGTTATGCTGATAATCCAATGGTGGCACCTCAACCGTGGGTGCAAACCTGCCAAGGGTTCCTCCAAGAAAAGATGGGAAATGTACTCAGAAAATCCACTTGTAATGACCCTAAGAAGAGCGGCTCTGAGCCCCACCCTATCCTGAGCCAACTGCATCATTTCTGACACACTTGACCCCACTGCCATGGTCAGTCCCTGAGCTGATCCATCTCCTCCAGCTTCTGACCCTCTACACCTCCAGATATGATGTCCTTCTCTAAGGACTATGCCTTCCTGACCACATGACCAAATAATATGAGACGAAGTTTTACAATCCTTGCCTCCAAGGAACAATCAACCTGGTTTCACTCTCTGTTCTCTTGGCCACCTACACACACACACACACACACACACACAGCAGTGGGTGTTTTACATTTTGACATCATTGCTGTCGCTCCATGTGTTTTCTGACTGGAGTTTGGATTCTGACTGCATGAGCCAAGAAGACAATGGTTCTTGGCATAATGCTGTGGTTTCTTGGGCTCCTAATGCAACAGCACCAGGATCTGGTTTGATTCTCTTTACTTCAGGATTCGCCTACAAACTGGTTTGCTACTTTACCAACTGGTCCCAGGAACGCCAGGAACCAGGGAAGTTTACTCCTGAGTACATCGATCCCTTCCTTTGTTCACATCTAATCTACTCATTTGCTGACATCAATAACAACAAGATCATTATCAAGGATAAGGCGGAAGCACTGCTTTACCAGACCATCAAGAGTATCAAAACCGAGTCAGTATGATGGGAACGGCACATCTAGGGTGGATCTTAGAGGAAGGAGGGAGATTCACACTGGGTCCTGTGGTCAACTACCAACTACTTTGTTCATTATTTCAATGTATTTCCTTGAATATAATCTTGAATCTGTATGTTCTACACTTCTCCCCAGTGTTCTATCCTTTTATTGAACTTAGCAACCAGGTTCCATTTTCTACAAACCCTCTAGTTAAAGTTTTCCCTAATAGTAAAATAATAATAATAATAATAATAATAATAATAATAATAAATAATTCTTTTTTTACTGCAGGAATCCCAAACTGAAAATTCTTTTGTCTGTTGGCGGATTCAAGCTTGGTTCCAAAATGTAAGAATGCAATCTCTAATTTTATTTATTTTTAGGAACAATTCTTTTCATTACCACTTCCTTCCCTCTCCCCACAAGAGACATTGAGCATTGAGAAGGGGGTCTTTTTTTGGCCCAGAAAAAACTGATTTGAGTTTTTATCACCAAGCCCAGACTTGGCAATAGGACTCAGGTGTCTAGACACAAAAGGCCAGGGGGAAACTGGGTGGTGAGCAGAATTCAGTGAACTCTTGATCATTTACATGAAGTTTATCTACTTTATGAGTGATGTTATTATTGTTTTGGGTCATCGAGTTTTCTACCACTCATAGTGACCCTGTGAACAACAGCTCTGAACCCTACCCTATCCTGCACCATCCACATCATTTCTGATATACTTGAACCCACTGCTACAATTCCTGTGTCAATCCATTCTGTTGAGGGTGTTCCTCCTTTTCTATGACAACGCGTTTTCCAGAATTATATTCTTTTCCAAGGTCTGATGCCTCCTGACAATGTACCCAAACCATGGATTATTATGAGGAGATAATATTAGGTGGGGAATGTAATTTTTTTTTTAAAAATCACTGGAGATTTTAACTTTGTACTACGGAAGTTAAAGGAAATGAGTAATTTACATTTAAAAACCAGGCCTGGGAAAGCAGGAGTCTATAGTCATAGAAGCTATATGTCATGACTGCATGGAGAGGTAAAGAGGGCACAGAATAGCATAAAAGACTATCAAGATGACTTTTCATAAAAGTAAGATAGTCGTTAATATAAAGACTACAGTATACATGATAGTTCCTGGCATAGGAAAATAACATTCCATTTCCATCAAGATCTAAGTAAATATAAATATATAAGAATGAAAGTTGTACTTCAACTACTGTTGATAGTTTGTAGAGATTTGAACTTCTAGCTCATAGAGGCACCTTTCTAGCAGTTCAAATCCACCATCAGCTTTGCTACAGAAAGATGGGCAGTCTCCTCCAGTGAGATTTATTGCCTCTGAAACCCACCAGAGGGTCAGCTTTGAATCAGTTCTGCCAATGTGGAAAAATCCTGGGCAGATATAGGCAAGAAACATTCCCATCTGGGAATAGTAAGGAAATGGCTAGAACTATCACCAGATAATTGTTGTGAAAGTGTATGTTGGCATCAATTTTTTTTTATTAAGCTCTGTAGTAGGTGCTTTGCAAAATATTAAAAACCATAATGTGCAAAGTGATTACATTTAGGATTCACCTTACTTTGGCCCATCCTCACTAACATAACAAAAGAAAAATCATATTTCTAAACAGATATACATATAGGTTCAGAGGCCAGGGCTTTAATAAAACTCCCCCCCCCCAATATAACTTTTGAGGGATGTCATTTAATCCACAACATGACCTAATCAACTACATGATCCAGTGACCTTCCATACACCCACAATGCTTACCTTCCTTGCCCCATTTGTATTAAAAGATGTACAGGAGTAATTAGGATAGGCAAATGGTGAGACAATATACTGAGGGAAGGAAAGACATTTAAGACATTTCTGTGGAAAAATAATCTGCTGTGAATATTGCCTATTCTTTTTGTTTGTTTGTTTTTTAAAAAAACAACAACGAAACACCACCAACCCTATGGTTTTTTTTTTTAATCCAGTTTCCACCCCATGGTTGATTCTTCTACATCACGCTTGGAATTTGTCAACTCTGTAATCCTGTTTCTAAGGAACCATAACTTTGATGGACTGGATGTAAGCTGGATCTACCCAGATCTGAAAGACAACACACATTTCACTGAGCTGATTCACGTAAGCTAAATTCCATGGTATATTCAGTGCCTTTAATATGACAATGCAAGGGAAAGGAAAGAAGATATTAGGTTTTAAGAGAAGACATTTACCTACGAGAAGTCCCCCACTTCCACCCAGGAAAGCCAGTAAATGCTTTTATCCGGGGCTCTGCAAAGGCATAGCTTTTACATTCAAGAAGTCTCTATTGATTTAAGAGCAAAGACAAGACCAAATAATAGCACTTCTTTATATAATGACAAAACATGGTAACAAAAGGAACAAAATGTCCATATGAAAAAGTGTGAGATTCATAAGATGAATTCCTTTGGTGCTTAGATAGAAGAGGAATTTGGTTCAGAAGACACATAAGGAGAAGACCCAGATAGGGTTTTTTTTTTCCTTCTAGGGCATCTTCATTTTCCTGGCTAGAGTGAGGCTGGGACTTCCTACTGTCTTCCTTTTCCTGGAGTGTCTACCTCCACATTTGGAAATGTAGAATATTCCTCAGCAGCTGCAGGTGTGAGGCATCTTCATCTGTGAAGAGTAAGGACATGGCTGACCTCTTTCTAGTTCCCAGACACAGATCTTGTTTTCCACAGGAGTTAGCAGACGCCTTTCAGAAGGACTTTGTAAAATCAAAAACAGAGAGGCTTCTCTTGACTGCAGGAGTGTCTGCAGGGAGGCAGATGGTTGATAACAGCTATCAGATCAAGAATCTGGCCAAGTAAGTATGTAGAAACAGCCTCTTCACTGCTCTGTCTTCAACCTGATCCATGCAAATGCTGTGCTACATTGTGCCTTAGGAGTGAGTGGAGGAGGGCAGGGATGACGCTCACTGCACTGACCCCACACTACGCGATCAGGAAATTATTTTTCATGACCAATTTCTATAACTATAACTACTGCTTAAAATTCTGTCTTCCCCTGCTCATCACAGCATGTTTTCCTTTGCTTTTGGCATTATAGTGAACTAGATTTCATCAACCTCTTGTCCTTTGACTTCCATGGAATTTGGGAAAAGCCTCTCGTGACTGGCCACAACAGCCCTTTGAGAAAGGGGCAGTTGGACAGAGGGACAAGCTCCTACTACAATGTGGTGAGTTGTGCAGAGAAACCACAGTGGAGATGCTCACTGTTTAGGAAGAGCTCTCAGACCAGGGAGGTGCACAACAGAAAATCAGACAATCTTGAGGGCTACTGAGCACAATGGTTGCTGTGATGCTAAACACTGTGACACTGATGTGTCAAATGCGATAACATTTACCCATGGCAAACAGTGTTTGGTGGAGCTCCTTGATTAGAACAAGCTTGGAAGCATGAGTGGTATTGTTACTGAACGCAAGGGGTTCTTTCCATAGTCAATTGCCAATAAGACAAACAGATTGCAGTATCCATGCACACTTTATTACAGATCTGGAAAGAAAGTGAGTTGGCCTCAAAGAGTGCCTCCCCACCTGGGAGAAGTCATCAGGCTTTTATGCTAGGGTGAGACACCAACTCACATAACAATGCACTTTTTTTAAGTAAAATCAAAGAATTTCTATATCTGAAAGAAAATCATACACACTCAGATACCAGTAAACAGACAACTTATAAACTAGTTAGCATATAACAGAAAAACAGGTTTTGGAAAAATAAGAGTTAATTCAGTACTCCCTTTCCTGGCAAACAGGCAGATTAAGTTATATTTTACATATGACTGGGAAAGACAGCTTCAAAGAATAACTTCTGATCAAGGAGATGCATCTCCTCTTCTGAGAAACAGATTAAAGAAAGGAAACTTCTAAGAATTCAAAGGTCAAGCAACTAGCCTTGCAAGCTGGAGAAAATTGATGCCAGTTTTATAACTATATAACTATAGTTCCATAACTGACACATACACAAAGAATTCTGAACTTATCAATACCACCCCATCAGTATCCACTTCTGAAATAGCTTGCTTCCAGAAACTCTATGAACATGGAGAAACGATGAAAGTTTTACAAGTGTTCAGATCTTTCGCTCATAGGGTTGCTATGACTTGACAACACTTAACAACAACAACAACTGAGAACAGAGGAAATGCTTTAACTAGATGCCAGTATAAAGCCCCCTGGAAAATGTCAGAAGACCTGGCAGTTGAAAAGCCATAAGCTCTCTTATCTGCTTGTGGTCCAGGGTGTCACCCATCCATTCTTGAGTTCTGTATCTTCAGTACATTTCCTGGTTCCATATACAGCACTTGGTACCTTCCAGAACCCATGCATATTCCTCATTTAACTTGACTTTTAGAACAATTCTGTGAGGTTGGGTGGGCAGGAAATACTACTCCCACTCACAGATGATGAAACGGAAGCCCAGCAGATTCATGTGAAGCAGATTCATATATAGATGTGAAGGTTCTGGAAAGTGACAGGAGATGAAAAATTCAAGCCAAAAATTTTACATCTCAGAAATTTGTATTGTTTTGGTACAAATACATAGTTTTGTGTTTCTACACTTTGAGGAGGAAAATGTATTTTCTGAGTTGCATTTTTCTAAATCTTCACATTTACAGTGACAGAACTCGTCCATCCAGAGCTTGATCTTCTGGTTTCTAATCTGAAGCTTTTGTAGAACTCTGTGTGACAAGGTCACATCAAACTCCCTTGTTCCTTCCTCAACACTGGGCTACTTTCGAAGATCAAGAGACAGACTGTTACAAACCTCTCATTTTGCCCTGGAGGGAAGGAAGGCTAGAGCTAGTTGTCTACTTCCTGCTGGCCTTTCAGGCCTAAAGTTTTTGTGAGGCCTCACTGGCTATGAGTCTGATAGTGATCTTATCTCATCTTTGTCAGAAGGCACAATTAGTCCACATTGGTGTAGACAAATTTCATGGACAATTGACACAAAAGGAAAAGAATGATATCGACAACATTGATATTATCTTTTCTAGGTCATTTGCTTTCTTTCTTTTATCGTTCACTGTTCAATTTTCTTTCATGGCCTTAAAAACATCAAACTAGTCTCTTAGTCCCAAGGAACATTAATTCATTAAAATAAAGCACTTTAGTCCCAGTGTGACTATTCACATTTCACTAATATAGAAAGGGAAGAAGGAGTCATTTCTGTTGAATTTAGAGTGAGACAACTTACATCATGTGCCTCAGTTTGTCCTCTTTTATATAGGAATATGCCGTAGGATACTGGATAAATAAGGGGATGCCAGCAGAGAAGGTGGTTATGGGCATTCCCACATATGGCCATACTTTCACACTGGCCTCTGCAGAAACTTCTGTGGGAGCCCTCGCCTCTGGACCTGGAACTGCTGGCCCCATCACCAAATCTCCAGGCTTTCTGGCCTATTATGAGGTACGTGGCAGTTCCATAGGCTCTCAATGTCTAGATTAGAGTCTATAGAATAGACAAATAAATTTGGCATCACAGGGATAATTGTCTAAGTTGCTCAGTTCATTGGACTATATTATTCAGCCTAATTGAATAAATAAAAAGTTCAGGTAACATAGAAAAATTAATTTAAGATTAATCAAAGCTCAACCAACAGATCTCTTGGGACATTTCCATAACCCAAATATTGGAGTGGCTGGTAGATTTGAAACTCCAAGATTTTAGTTAGCAGCCCAATATACAAGGTGCATATAACCTAAAAGAATTAAAAAAAATTTATATGTAACACTGGAATGCTTTTTTCACTAATTTATTTGTAGTTGCTTTTACTATTGCTAATACAAAGAGGAAATAGCTAATGATGGAAGGAGGCATCCTGGAATAGGGTAGGTGGGGAATGGAACAGGATAGTTGGATGAAAGTGAAGACAGTCTACAATAACCTCTGTAGATAATGGCAGCCCAACATGGGAAATGTTATCTAGAATTGAGTGCTAGGATTTGATCTCAAACTCTAGTCGTTTTTTAATTAGTATTTTTTTAGCTGACTAAGGCTCCTTCTGATGAGGTTTTACATAAAAAAATTGCTGATGGTATTTTGTATATTATGTCAGACCATTTTTCTCATTACCTAGTTTCTAGGATAAAGATTCTGATATTTCCCTAAATCCACCAGTGATTTCTCTACACTATCTACCTCAATATATTTCAAAAGACCTCATCACTGACTGATTTCTTGCCCTCTTCCCCAGATCTGCCAGTTCCTGCCAGGAGCCAAGATCACAAGAATGCAGGATCAGCAAGTTCCCTATGCAGTCAAGGGAAACCAGTGGGTGGGCTATGATGATGTGGAAAGTGTGAAGAAGAAGGTATGCAGACAAGAGGCTCTGGGGATGGCAGAACATTCCTTTGGCTGGAGAATGTAATGCGTGGTGAAATGCCCTGAGGTTCTAGGCAGAAGGGAAGACTCGAAGATCCTGTTGTTGTATACTGTAGAGTCAGAACATAAGTGGGAAAAGAGCTCAAAAAAGAATTGAAACTTTAGAACAAGAGCAGAATCGAGGGATGGAGAGAAGAGGGAGAAGGGTACGGGAATAAAGGAGACATTGAAGCCTATGTCAAAAGTAGTTATCCATCTGGTAAATCAACTGAGGACAAGTCCTTCAGTCCTCATGGACTGGCCTGCTAGAAGCCTCCAACTTTCTGAGCCTATCAATTCTTAGACTTTTGTAAGACATTTTTGCCTTCTAGGTTTAGGGCAAGATGGAGGCATCAATGTAACTTACAACTACAATTGTCTTGCTCCTGGTTTCCGATTTCCTAATCCTGGAGAGTGTTTGAAACTCACAAAATGTTGGAACTGAAATGTAGTCACTCCATGAGGCAGGACAAGGGGTGATTAATAGTGGGTGGCTTCTTCTTTTTTAATTTAATGGACAAACCTAAGAAACTCGACCTCATCTTTCCCTTAAGGAAGTCCCTAAGCTCTGCTATACTTTAAGTTCCTGGTACACTCTAAACTCAAACCTTTGAATTTTACTTGGGCTACATAGGCCTTCAGTGGTCTCTTCTAACCTCCTGTTGTATGTCTGTTTCCCTTAGGTTCAGTTTCTAAAGAATTTAAACCTGGGAGGGGCCATGATCTGGTCTATTGATATGGATGACTTCACTGGTAAATCCTGCAACCAGGGTCACTACCCTCTTGTCCAGGCTGTCAAGAAAAGCCTTGGTTCTTCCTAAAGGTAACTGAGTCTTTTCTTTCCTTTTCCTTTCCTGTTGTGAATGGGTTGTTGGGTATTTTCCCCCTTAGCTACTACCTTGGGAAATAATTTTCTTTTTGTTTCCAGGTTTTACCTATAAAGAATATCAGGCCAGATGACCTTGCCGCCTACACTCTCTCCAGGAATTCTTGTTCAGGATTCGCCTTATCAGACTCCCCACAAGACCTCTGTCTTCCAAGATTTCCACCGACTTTCAGACCTGGATCTGAGCCTGGCTTTATACTTTTGTATCTGCTGACAAGTTGCCCCAAGGCACAATCATAAGCTATTTATATTCCAGCAAGTGTGACCTCTTTGTGCAAAGCCTTTACCCTGTGGTGTAAGGCAGTGCTACTGTTTTTGGAGTTCAGTAGTATGATACAAATGGAGGCTCACATGTCATATGTCTAAGTATTTAAAAGAGCTAATAAACTGTTAAAATATTATTTATTCTTTGACATTGACAAATGTGCTATCAAACAATCTTAAAGGTTAAATTTGAATTTCAGTCTTTCAGAATTCTGCACGAAGATTCCTTCACTTTTTCAGCTGTCTCACAGAGCAAGGATCTGACATACACACTGTAGATATCTCAATCTTTGTACTTACTCTTCATCTACATTCCCCAGAAAGAAATCCAAGACTATGTCTATGCACACTAGTGGTGTGGTGGACCCTTAGCTTGCATTCAGACTGAATTTCTGAGTAGGAAGAGCTTATGAACAATGAGATGAGCTGAAAGAGAGAGTCAGAAGACTAGTAATTTATTTTAAAACAGCTTCTGAATGAGGAGCTCTGGTGGCATTGTGGCTGAACAATTGGCTGCTAACTGGAAGGATGAAGTTCAAATCCATCTATCACCTCTCAGTCAGAAGAGGCAACAGTCTACTTCTATAAAGATGACTGTCTGGGAAACCCTATAGGTCAGTTCTACTCTGTTCTATAGAGTCACTGTGAGTCAAAATCGACTTGGGTTTGGTTTTGGGTTTTATTTTTTTAAAAATAGCCTCTTATTTCTGACCGAGAAAATGTCAGTTACACATAACAAAGAGTGAGATTGGCAAACACTGGTGGATAGTACGTGAAAGTTAGCTTCCGAAGCCACCCTAAACGACACCCCAGTTCCCAGATCTTCTCACTGCAAGGTAGATATTACTTTGCTTGAGGCACCACTCTGACTCCTAATTCTAAGCCAATCCCTTCTTTTTCTGCAAGAAGAAGAGGAAAAGTGAAGTCGTTAAGAGCACAGTCTTGGGGGGAGGGATTGTATACCAATGAAAGAATTTTTCTTTTACTTTTCAAAGAGGAGAGCAAACTGGGGGGAAGTTGGGCAGGGAGAAAAGTACAACAATGAATGAATGGAAATCCAAAGTCTCTGTAAACTTTCATTAAAATGAATTAAAAAAAGAGAAATAATAATAAAAAAGAACACAGTCTGAAATCAGATTGCCTGGGTTCACATCTGTATTTGAGCAAGTTATTTTACTCCTTTCTGTGTCAGTTATCTAGTCTGTTAAAGGGAATAGTAAGAGTACCTATTTCCCAGAGCTATGAGAATTTAGTAAGTTAATATTTGTGAAGTCTTGACATATTTGGATAGAACCTGGCACCTCTCAAACATTACTGAAGTGTTTATAGTTTCTCCTATTATCCTGCTGTTGTAATGGGGCACAAGATGGAATATGGAAAGCTGCCCAACACATTAACCTTGGCCTTACAACCTTGGCTTTGAAAGTTTAAGTGCTCATTAAAGAAAAGTTAATGTCTTGGGCTACAAGCCCTGAACTCTATGGAACATGCTATGAAGAACCATTTGCTTTGCAAACATCCGGGAGAAGATTGTGTCAACTAAGGCCCCAGCTTTAACTTGGATTGGGAAGCACCCTCCCTTACACAACCCCTCTGAGGAAAACTTTTAAGGCTAAGACTCCTCTGTCAAAAAGGCACTGTATCTGAGAGTTTCATGGGTAGTGGGATGAGAGACAGTGAGACTTGGGGCTGAGAACTTGGGCTTCAGAGTCAGAACACCTCTTCTTGGCTCACAGCTCTTTGGCTTTCCAATTGTATGAGTTTGGCAGTTTGTTTAATCACTTTGTGCCTCAGTTTTCCTAATTTGTAGGATATATTATGACAATAATAACATCTTCCCAGAGATTTCTCTGAGTATTAAGTTAAATGGATATGTTAGATGCACATCATATAGCTAAGTGATTGGTAACTGTTAATTACTTTTAATCCAGGTACAATTTTTAGTTAATTTTAATTTTTATCATTTTAATATTTAGGCACAGCCTCACATTTTTCCTTAATCTTAAAGCCAAACTGTCCCAAGAATGGTCAAGAGAGGATGATGAGTAAAGATCCGGGCATGCCTATCAGTCCTCAGGCAACCTGTACACTTGTATGCTGAAGTCTCTATGACTCACTTCTGTGTTCTTGTGAACTCAGATAGCCCTTCAGAGTGTTTGATCAGCACCTTTCAGGACTAAACCAGATGCTGTAGGGTTGATTGAGATTCATGTTGATGGGATATCATAGATGAAATTGTCTCAACTTGGCTAGACCATGATTCCTAGTATTACGTGGTTGTCCTTCCTTTCCCAATGTGTCATAAATTCTAACCCCTGTTATATGAAAGAGGAAGGATACAATCTACAAGACTAGACTGTATTTTGAGTCAACCTCTTCTGAGTTTTTTTATGATCCAAATATCTTTTGAGTTATAAAAGAGACTAAACAAATGATTAAACACTAGAGGGTTGTCAATACCATGAAGAAAGATGAACCAGGAGTGTAGTGTGTTCTTTAGACCTGAATTCTCTTTGCTGAAACATTCCTAGGCTGGTGGGAAATGGATCTCTAAGAAATATTGGGCTCACAGATATTGAATGGAGATAAGAATCTTCCTCCAGAGCAAACGCAGAAAAAGCCTTTCCCTAGAGACGGTGCTCTGAATTTTACTTCTTACTTTCTATATTATGAAAGAACAGACTTTCGTTTTTTAAAGTTATCCACTTATTATTTCTGATACAGCAATATTAAATAACTATGACACACGGTGATCTCATAGACATCAGAGTAGAATTGTATTCCATAGGTTTTTTATCCGCAGATATTTCTTCTCTGGCTTCTAGAATCTACCACCTTTTCAGTTAGGAGTCCAACACTTAAATGAAATGCTTACATTCCTCAGGGGCTTTACAAAGATGGTACCCTCAAACACCAAATCCATTTCTGCTGAGTCATTCTGAGGAATGGAAACCACATTTGTTACAGAGTCAAATTGCTCCATAGGATTTCTTTGGCTATAATATTTTATGGAAGTAGATCACCAGATATCCACCCCCCCCCCACTACATTTCTGGATGGGTTCTAACCACCAACTTGTTGGTTCATAGTTCACCATTTACATCACTCAAGATATCAGTAAATCCAGAACATCTTAAAAAGACTCTTTTTGTTATTAAAAAAACCCCAAAATCACTGTCGTCAATTTGGAACCATCTCATAGCTGACCCTCCATTGGGTTTCCCAGGCTGTAAATTACATGTAAGAAGATTGTCCATCTTTCCCTCTTTGGAGTCACTGATAGATTTGAACTGCCAGAGAGGCGCAGCTTTTGGGTTAGCGATGCAACTTCCTACGGACCTGGTCACCAGAGCATGATTTTGACTCATAGCAACCCTATAACAATAAAACAATTCGTTGCTTGGTTCTGTACAATCCTCATAATCATCGCTGTGTTTTAAGTAATCATTGCAACCACTGTTGCAAGTCATAAACGTCTTGGGTGTGGTGCTGGAGAAGAGTATTGAACATACCATGGACTGCCAAGAAAACAAATAGATCAGTTCTGGAGAAGATGAAACCAAGTTTCTCTTTGGAAGCCATGATTTTGAAGCTCCATCTCATGTACTTTAGGCATGTGGCCAGGAGGGACCAGTCCCTGGAGAAGTCCATCATACTTGGAAGGGTAGAGGGACAGCACAGGAGAGGAAGATGTAGGATGAAATGGATTGACATAGTAACTAGGTTAATGGAGGTAAGTATGTTGGGGACAATGAGACTGGCTCAGGATAGGGCACGTTTCAGAGCTGTTGTACATAGGGTCACTGTGAGTCATAGGCAACTCAATGGCACATAACAACAACGTACTTTTCAAGTATAATGTCCATTATATGACTAGCCCCTCCTAAATACCTGTCCACATACATGAGATAATGTCTTACCACCCTGTTGCAACCACTTTTGAACTATCTTCAACAAAATTTTACTTGAGTGAGACATTAATGATATTATTAGATAATTTCCACATTTTGCTGAATCACTGTTCTTTAGAATGGGCACAAATATGGATCTCTTCCAAATGGTCACATAGCTATTTTCCAAATTTCTTCACATAAATGAATGAGTACTTTCAGTATTGTATCCCTTTGCTGAAATATCTCAATAGATATTCCATCAATTTCTGAAATTCCCCCCCCCCCAATGCCATCAATACATCTTGGGCTTCCTCATTCTATAGCATTTGTTCTTGATCATATTTTACCTCTTGAAATGGTTGAACATCAACCATTTCTTTTTTGGCACAGTGACTCTGAGTATTCCTTCCATCTTTTTTAAAGAAGTGGGATTTAGTGGGCGTACATCCAGTAGCACCACTTTCTCTCGAATGGGATTCCATCAGAGTGGTTCTCCAGAACTGGTATCACTGGCAAAGGTAAATGCAGGCCTCCTTGGACATGAAGGAACTCTGGTGGCCTAGTATTAAGAAGCTGTGCTGCAATCCCAGAGGCATGTATTTCAAATCTAGCAGCAGCTCTGTGGGCATTTTTCTCCCATGTAATTAACTACCTCTGAAAACCCACAGGAGGATCAACAATGGGTTATTTCTGACTTGATGGCACACAACAACAGCAGCTTTGGAGATGAATAGACTATTCCTTTGTTCCTCTCATTGCCCTCTGGAGTCAGGAGTCCCTC